CATCTCTCTGAATTGGTGGGCCTGCTCCAAATCGATTGGCTGACCCTCTCCCCTCTGCCCCGCTTGACACTCCCTAGCTGATATGAAAGAGCTGGCTTTTTCCCAGCCCCCAGCGATACCTCCACCCAGCCCTGTTGTGGAATTTGACTGGCTGGTAGGGTTTCGCGGTTGCCCTATAGGCCTCTGGTTCTTTTGAAGTCGCCACACAGAAGATGAATAGCTTCCGCCCCTGCACGGGCTTACAGAGGAGATTGGGGGATATTCTCACACCTGCCTGTGCACCCCTGCAAACTCTCCCTGATGTGTTTGGGGAATTGAGCCTTGATGCCAATCGCAGGGCGCAGCGGTGCCCCACACTGCTGCTGTACACCTATTGCTGTTTCACGTGAGCCGCTAGCTGATTTTCTGCATTTTGTCATCTTTCCTGCCACTGTAAACCCACCTCCCTTTCAGCCTCACACAAACACAGCAAACACACACAAACACATGCTGAATTTGTGGGGGAAAACATCCACATTCATTAGGCTAATGCACAGCTGTGGAAAAAAACACATTTTCCTGGTGTTTTTATGATTTATTGTGCGGCAGAAATGTGAAATTGTGTATATGGGATATTAGTTATTTAAGTGATTTAGAGGTTGGCAGAGAGTACTTTTCCTCCTCGCTTCGTGATTTATGGTTATTGCAAAAATGTGAAATTGAGTATATGAGTATAAGCATATTACCTTATGATAATATAAGTAATTGAAGAGATTTAGGAGTCTGTGGAGGCTGGGTGTTGCATACACAACTGGCGCCAGAGAAAATGGAAATGGCAGCTTATCAAGCTGAAATCACTCTCCAAGCAGAGGTGACACATCAGTAAATTTGGCTTTTGTGGCCAGTGGCTTCATATTGTTTGGCTCTTGATATATTTGATGGTATATCAGGGGGATATGAAATTCAGGAGTTATGAGATGTCATATTATTCAAGTTAAGCGGATGTGAAATATGGTGATAGCCAGTTGTGTTAGAATATTGTTTAGATATTTTTGCACACTGACAGGTGGCTGAAAGATATTCCAAAGCTGTGCCACCTCTGTAGCCATAAAATATCCATAGCCATTATATCTGGTTAAGTGCGCTTTCCTTATTATACTTTCCTATTAATCTTGGAGGAACAGATAAGGGTGAGAGGTCAGTCTTAAATGGATTTGGTTTCCTTAGGCTGGGCTCTCTTGAATGACTCTGAGCCGTGCTTTCAATCAGCGCTGCCACCACTCACTGTGGTAATGATGGCCGGAGCTTCATTAAGAAGCTCGTTAAGTCCCCTCGTTAAGCTGCAGGGCCGTTAAGACTTTGATTGTTAATGGCTCTTCGTTAAGGAGAGTGAGTAACCAGGCTCCCATGGTGGTCCTGACCAGCCGGGTGTTTTGGCCAATTGGCCCCAGTTGGCCTCCTCAGAAGATGGAGGATGAGCCCAAACTCAGTACAAGTCAAAATGTAAACACTATTCAATGAACTTGTGTGACCCTGGCTGCAACATAACCCAATTTGTTATAGTAGCAAAACCTGTAACCAAATGCATTTTTTTGGACCTCAGAAAAACTACCGAGTTGTACAATGTAATACAAAAACAAACAAATTCTCATAAACAGATGACTTTTGGAGTTGACCTAGATGAGCCAATCTATACATATTACCTAGACCTATATTTTTCTACAGTTAGTGGGTAAGGGGTGTGTGTTTTTCCCTCACCGGTACTTTCAGGCGGTCAAGCTCACACTGTTTTTCTCGCCTTGCACTGATTGCACACTATTTCCTTCTGTCATTTTGAAATAAAGTGAAATTGAGGCATACACCAGTTTGCCTGAACGGTTGCAACATTGCTTCAGCCAGGTTTGTATATTTCTACTATGACTGCCTGTAGGAGTTGCACAGGGAGGGCATTTGTTTATTTGACTGGAGTACCTATAGATAGTGCACTAACACACTGGGCCGTGAAATCTGATTGAAGATTGATCCTGAGATCGTGTGGGTGCCACGTGTCAATGCAGTCTGACTTTGAATTATTATTTGAATTTACATGGCCAGGTCTTAATTGTCCTATAAATACCAATCCTTGACACATTTCTGGTGGGTGTTGTGTGGGCTCAAAACAAAAACAGGAAAAAGGTTAGGTTTCTTTAAAGGTCTGGTGTGTAACATATAGGAAGATCTATTGTCAGAAATGGAATATGATATTCATAGATTTGTTTAATTAGTGTATAATCACCTGAATATAGGAATCTTTGTGTTTTCATTATCTCAGAAAGAACCGTTTTTATCTACAGATAAGAGTATCCCAGAATTGATACATGGACATCATGGTCATCATGGACCTTTTTAACAAAATATATTTTGATGTGTCACAGTAAGAGAAACACATGTAAATAATACAATTAATGATGTCTGAATTCCATTTAACTGCTTCAAGTTGTGCATGATGGCTTACTGTTACACTGTCATGGCTTACTGGGGCACTTGGGCACTTGAAATGAGCAGTTAATGTTAAATTTAATGTTAATGTTATTAGTGACACCTGTGTTTTTCCTGCTATGACAAATCAAAATATCTGCTGTTGAAAAAAGACTATTGACAAAGTGATGGAACTGACAGGCACTGAAAATGGACAAAAATAAACTAAGATGGCGCTGTTGCCATGACAAGAATATTTTTAAGAAAAGTTATGTGATGTGTGTTATGAGATGATTTGCTGCTCGAAATCTTTTGAAGTCTTTTGAGAGTCTTTGCACTGTAAAAAGCAAAAGAACATTTTCACCTCTGCATCATAATGTAGTCCTCTGTCAGTATGTTTTACCCATAGACAGTTTATATAAATAGTGGACATAGCCTCTGGGTCTGAGAAGTGAAGCCAATATATTAAAACTGCATTCTTTCCAAAGGCGACTCCAGTGGTTGCAAAAATAAGTCAGATTCTAAGTAAGTTTATGAGAAAATGACCCTACTTCTTAATTGATTACTTACCTCAGTAAACAGTTTCTAAATAAGTGTATGGTCTCTGTCACTAGTTTCAAGTCATCTTCAATACAGCATTATGTTCATTTAGTAAATCATGGTCAAAGTAGGGTATGCAATAGGGCGTAGTTACCTCATGATTGACAAGTCGCTACCACAGCGTGTCCTCGGGTTCTGAGTCAGAGAAAGATCAGGATAGAGGTAGAGCAATACATATCCTTCCCAGCTCCACACACTTGTCCTTATATGGTCACTTCTGGCTCCAAAAAGCAAAGATGGTGACGGCCCTAATGCCAAACCCGAGGCTTCGAAACGGTAGCACACAAACCAGTGGGTGACTTCACAGTGGCTACATCCACAATTAGTACTACTGGTTAAATATACAACTTCCTAAGCATAGCTCACGCTCTACAGTCAGTCAGACCAAATTCCAGGTGAAGTACCTCTCTCTGTGTCTGAACTTTAGTTATGGTCACAACAGTTTAGACACAGAGCTAGCATGAACATGCCAAACCTAGTTGTGGCATTGCTGATCAAAGATAACCCGTTCAGCTACATTACAGCATGCATGGATATAGAGAACAGACATCAGAACAGCAATAGGTCTATTTCTAGTTTCTTAAGTGCATCCTGCTCTTACACAACACCCTCTATGTTGGCAAGAGTGCTTTCAGATTTTCCAATTTGCATTGTCATTTTAATAAAGGGATCTTTTGAAGGTGAAGTGTTGTTTAACTTTTGACGTTGTGCCAAATTGTTCACACAGTTTTAGCTTCCAACTTTCAGACAGTCTGAACTTATGATTGCTTTCTTAGCTATAAACAACCTTGTCAACATCCGCACTTATCGTTTACCCCCCGGAAAGCTGGCGTATCCATGCTATTTCCCCCCTTGAAAAATGGCGATCTTCAAAGTAAATGAACATTTCGATTCACAGTATCCATTCTCATTTCATTTCGCAAATGTGCTTAGCTGTTGCCACGCAACAATGCTTTCCTGATCTAAACCCCCATCCCCTCCCCAGCCGGCTCCCCGCTCTTCTCTCTGTCTAAAGTCCCAATGTCACACTTTCTTGCAAGTGGGGGCTAATTTAGCACTCTTTTTTTAAAAACCATAGTTGCTATTCAATCCACGTAGGTGCGGGGTAATGAGATTGAATCTTGATGTGCTGGGTGCATCCCGCTGGCGTCTCTCTCTCGTCGGGGACGGAGGACAGTGTGGAGCCTTCCCTGATATTACCTCTCCCTGCATGAGAAGGCGCTGGTCGCTCTGCTGCTCTGCCATCCCGCCAGGCGCTGATCCAATAAAGCTCAACACAGGGCTGTGATCGATACAGCATGTCCCACTGCCGTGCACCCCTCCACTCTCTCTCTCATACACACCTATTAGTTAGGGAATAATTGATTGGCCTACTGTTCATTATTCCTTTGATTTGGTGCTTTCATTAAATAGCTAGGGCACTGCATGTGCACAGACTAGTAAACTCTTGCCGTCCACAGCTGCTAGGAAGTGAAAAGAGGCTTTAAGAGTGAGCAGTAGAGTGTGTGTTCTGGATATCATTGAGATTAAGGAGATCCTGGTTCATAACTGCTCATACTGCAGGAATAGAGAGATGAGACACAGTACAATGGGAGGAAAGTGTGTGTGTGTATGTGTGTGTGTGTGTGAGAGAGAGAGAGAGAGAGAGAGAGAGAGAGAGAGAGGAGAGAGAGAGAGAGAGGGAGGTATTGTGCGTATTTCTTTTGTCTGCCTCTGTTTAAATTCATTATATCCTGGAGGCATGCAGAGGATAATCTGCTTGTTTTGTCTTCACTGCCTGTCTCGAAAAAACAAACTTAATTTTTAACTGGTGTTCACTCTTGTCTTTCTTTTCCACCCTTTGTGTTCCTGTCTGTCCTTACCTCGGAATTTCTTCCAATTTCTATTTCCCTCTTTTGGTTCTTGCTTTTATTCTGTCTTTTATTCATATTTTTTTCCCTCTCTTTCCATCCTCTTTCACCTAGCTCCACACCGACATGGACAGGAATGATGGACGCACTAAGTATGTCCTGCGAGGCGAGGGGGCGGGTTCGGTCTTTGTGATAGACGAGAAGACGGGTAACATCCACGTCACCAAGCCACTGGACCGTGAGGAGAAGGACGAGTATCGCCTGATAGCCACAGCCACCGACAGGCAGACGGACCGTGCCCTGGAGCCCTCGTCACAGTTCATAATTCGAGTGCAGGACATCAACGACAACCCACCTATCTTTGACGAAGGCCCCTACAGCGCCACCGTGCCTGAGATGGCAAATATAGGTAATGGAAGTAGGGTGGGCAGTGGGAGGGTGGGTTTAAAATGTATCGTGATTTAGTGCACAACATTGAATAAATAATTTAGACATGAAATAATGAATCATATCATGTGTGCATGTGTTGTGTGTGTATACACATGCGCAATAAAAAAAATGGAATCTTTTTATAAATTAAACTTAAAATTCAAACTTCAATTTAAAACTCAAGGTTTTTTTTATTATTAAGTATTAATGTCTTTTTAAAATAGGGTTTTTATTTTATTATGGCATTTTTCCATTTTTTCCAATTTTCCAGCAATTTTATTCATAATGCTACTTTTCATTACATCATGTCAACATGTGCCCCCAGCCTCTTAACAGACTCACCAACTATTTAGCCAGCTAGCTCTTGTTGGCTAGAGCAACATAATGCTAAATTAAAGGTTCAGTGTAAAACATTTATAAGGATCTTTTGAAGTTTGAAACATAATAATATTATCATAATATTGGTATGTTTTCATAAGTGTATAATCACCTGAAAATAAGAATTGTTTTGTTTTTGTTACCTTAGAATTAATCTTTAATATCTACAGACGCTGTGGGTTGCCTTCCATGGAGGCCGCCATGTTGAACCGCCATGTTTCTAAAGTAGTTCAGAACTGACAAACCCAATGGCTCCAGATAGGGCCACCGTAGTTTCTCCTTGTGCTTAAAAGGGGAGGGTGAAGGGAAGGAGTTGCAATCTGCAAATACAATGCCACTAAATGCTACACACTGGACCTTTACACATGCTTCTTAACTAGCCAGCTAACTAGCTGTGTGGGCCTGTGAGCTTGGATTAATTAGTCAGCCTTAAAATGAAAGCAACTGTTAGCAGCTGTTAATTCAGTGTTACCTCTGCACCGCTGTGATTCTGAATATTATTCTCGGAGAAAGACACACAACTCTAGGGACTGATTATGAACACAGCCAAATTGTTGGAGCCAAATGGATGGGTGGAGGGCACATGTGATTAGCTGAAACTGGCTAAAAAAAGGTATGTTGAAATAATAATGAGTTCCATTTTAATGATAATGAATCGAGTTTTAAAAATGTATTAAATCATTTAATAATTTATTGCTTTTGTACTTTATGTATTAATAACATTGTTTATTTTATTACAGTATGTCTTATTTACTCATTTAATATCGAACGCTCTGGTTCTCTGTAGTACAGAACACATATTTCAGCTTTGGATAGTTTTCTAATTCCTGTGTCCTCGTAGCCACAAAAAAAATTATTGTACATAAACTAGATTTATCTACAAGGAAAGCTGCTCAAAGCTGTCCCGTAATATGATCACCTGAACTTTATGCTGTGATCTGACTTGCTCAGTAGTCCACATAAACCCAATTTGTTGCATCTTTCTCACAAGTTATAACATGAAATAAATTGCTATCGCAGTGCCATCTGCCATCCAGACAGCAGTGAATAGCTACATTTTTCATGATAGAAAGATGATTATGTTTAATCTTTGGACCAGAAGAGAATATGGAGGTACCATTATTATAGTTTGACCAGGTAACCTTTGTGCAGAGCTGAACATGAGGCAACATAATTACAATCGTGGATTTGGGGAGGCTTCTTGGTTGCTCATTTGGCTGACAGACAGAATTCAGCCTGGAGTCTTTGTCACATGCCACACGCATCTCTTTATCCCATCCTTCATGTCCTTCCTCTCTGTGATTGCGTAATTATAAAAAGTAATCTTAATAGCTGGGATAAGAACTTACCTTGATTGAGTGTGTTATGAATTCACATTTTGTATACAAACTGAGGCTGTAGCATTTTATTGGTTTGGTGTTTAATCAGAATAAAGCACCAGACAGTCACTGCTGTCAAGCTGCAAAATGATGGATGTCCCCCTTGACCACAGCTAGACAGTGTCTTTTTTTATTTCTATCTCAGATGGATGAATTGTCTGAAGGTATTTTATTCAACAGCTTTGAACTGGTAGTCCGTATAGGCTACACAAAAACATTCCTTACACTGAGTAGAATGTTAAATAGTGAAAAATGCAAAATATCAATTATTGGCTGCAAATTAAACCAGTAATGGAGCCACAATCAATGAAAAAAATAAAGTCTCTATTAGAAGAACTCCAATATAAACACTGAAAAGCACTTAAAGTGGGTCATTAACTATCATTTGAAATACAATGAGCATGTTAATGTAGCCATAGGTTCCATTCACAGTGTATTCACATTTTGTGTACAGGCTATTTAGCCTTCATCAAAATGAACCCTTAAATGGGTATTGTATGTTAAGAATACCTGCTCCACTTCAGTAGATTCACTACATGGATAGTTTTCAGAGTACAAAATTGAGTGAGGGAGAGTTTATTTACAACTAAAGATGGAGTCTGAATACTGCATTTAATATCAAAACAACTTTACAGGGTTTTACTCCTGCTGATAAGAATTCCTGAATACTGAATGACTGTTCTCCAAAGTTGTTGTTTTGCGTATCACCACGCTGTGGTCACAACGAATGCATCAATCTCCCGGATGATGTCACTGCTCCACATTTGCACAGATTTTTATAACACCCTGCTTTTATGTGTCACAAACTAAACATTCTATTCTCTCCAGTCCAACATAAAATAATATTAAACGTTTTGAATTATGCAATCATGTCTTGATAAAAGTACATATTTATCAGTTTATTAGTTTCAAAATAAAACTTGAAAGGCCCTAAAAAATTATTTTCTGAATCTGCTTTGCTGGTCCTTCATGAGCATCTTTTCTATTAAAGTTACAGCAGTTTTGTTTTTTACATAATGTCAGAATTTCTTTTTGTCTCTGTGCTCAGTTTGATGTGGGCGGGACTCATTTGGGCAAGTGATGTCACATACATATGCACCAATCAGAATTCAGCAACATTTGAAGGTGATCTGACCCACAGATGAATCTGCCAAACTCATGATGTTTCATTTGCTCTGGCAGATATATATATATATATATATATATATATATATATAAATCCACCTTTCCATTCAAACAGAATTCCACCAGCGTTAGATCTGGTCAGGCCAATCAAAACCATTTATGCAATATCAATATGGGGCAGGATTTATACGATGAGTGACAGAGGAGCATTATTAATCCAGATTTGCAAAGTCACATGTCACAGGTTTCGCCTAACTGATTGATTGTAGGTCTATCCAGTTGTGTCCAGTCTGCAGGTCTGTTCAGGGAAACACACAGGCTCCAGAAACTCAATTAAAACTGTAAAACTCGACAGTGCTGATCAAAAATGAATCAAGATTTTGAAACTGAATTGCCTATTTCTTGCCTCATGCGTTTCGTTGACGGTCTGATTGATTGAAGGTCTATCCAGTTGCGTCCAGAGGCAATTTTGGTACGCTCCCTATGACCCTTGAAAATTTTACAGGAACTGAGAGGTTCATCCTGGTGATGCCAGGCTAGGGTTGATTGGTAGTCAAATCTGATCAAATCAGACCCACACCGTCTTGATGAAGTAGTTGTGGTTTAATTTATTAACTCTTAAATGATCAACATATTTTTCAACTTTAGAGTTGCTTATTTAGTCATGAATATAATAGTTATAAAAACAAAATCACTTTTAGTTTTAAACATAAATCATTATCATACAAATAAACCATTAATTATTATGGTACTAATAGAAATTATGCCTTCTTTTCTCTCATTGCTCAACTGTGTGGTAAATAATCACAAGCACATAAAGATAGCTAATAATTTCATCAGTACATTTTCACCAGTAATGCTATAGCTTGTAAACATACCGTATATATGTACGCACAAGGTGAGACATCATCTGTAACATTAAATGGGCCCACATTCAGACTGGTTCAGTTTTATGCTTTAGTCTTGACAGTTTCATTTTTATTAGTCCAACTAATATTGTATTCTAAACATGCAGCATCTCAGCCTCAAGCAATTGCCAATTACAGCCCTTAATATACTGAAATATAATTAAGTCAAAACAGAGATTAACCTGTTCCAGGTCCAATGGATGAACAACTCATTAATGCACGTCCTTATGATATGTTAATAAGAAGTTTCTGTGATCAGGCCTGTGTTTCTCTTCAGCCGTGTATACTTTAGCAAAGTCACTCTGCAAACATTTACTAATGCTAGAAATCTGGCAACTTTTGCTGGCAGGTGCAAGAGGGAGGAAAGTGAAATACTCCCCTCTGCATACTTTCAACAGAGCTTTGTGTCCATGTAGCACGAGTCAGAATACAAGCCTCTTGGGGTTCCTGCATGCCCTTTTCAGATTGTAACACCTAGATATAGTTTCTAAAGGGCCTTCAGTGCAGTTACAAGCTAAAAGTGGCACAAAGTGAAGGACATTTGTACTGCTATAGTTTCTTTATATGTAGGCCACATGCTTTACTTCCCTTTAACTGTCTCCACTCTTAAAAAATATGTTTTGTAAAAGAACTTGATGTAGATATTTGGTGTTGACCCAACTACTACGAAACTTTACTCACCTTAAAGAGTGAATTTACTTTTAAAAGCACATTATTATCCACCTTATTATACAGCAAATTATACATCTCGCAACATACGGTATATGCCTTTTGTAGAAGTTTTATACGAGTACTGAAATGTACTTGGTCTCCACTTTTTGTTGGGAGCAGGCAGGTCAGGCAGGGCTGTTCAATTTTATTACTCTTTTGGCATGAAATTGCATCTCTGTTTTCGCCTCAGACCAGACAGAGAAAATTTCATGGCTCGCGTTGGTGGATATGTGCGCACAGAGACCTCTCCAAAACCCAAAAATCAAATGCAAATGGGACCACAATTTAAATGCAATGCAGGCAGAATCTGTAATGGGTTAGATTAATGGATAATTTTGAATAACACTGTCACCACAGCTGCTTGTAGGATGCATGAGGCCTTTCCTTTTTGTTGATTAAATACCTGTCGCCATCATATAGCAGCAGGAAAGATGCAGCACATACGTTCCATCTGCAGTCTCTGATTGAAGAGATGTGCA